TTGCCCGTGCTAACCAACTGTACAAAAAATATTGCATTTTCAGTTGCATGTACGGTTTGAGGATCGAATAAAATGGTTTCTTTAGCATTTGGCCAAACTATTAGACCACGATAGAATTTGCAATTGTCGATTAAAAATTCCTGATACGCTTAACTTTGCAATGTTTTTAAGGCGTATTTTTGTTTTCGAAAAGTGCGGTGCGTTTAGCTTGAGGGAAACTAAACGGCAGTGTTGAATCAAGAGCAGCATGCATCACAGAAAGACCCTGAAAGCATCAGGGGCGTAGCTAGCGATTTTGTAACTATACGCCGAAGGGTACTATTTTGAGTGGCAGAGGCTCCCCACTAGGGGGGGTCTGTAAATGTTCAAATTTTGGCGGAAATGCCATTTCCTGCATCTTCCGTGGGATATTACAAGAAATAAATACTTCAGTGAAACGCAGTAGTTAGTTGTTTATTTTAATTTATCTATCAGCCAACTGAAATAAAAAAGAAACAATATATGAAATAAATTCAAATCAGCCAATCTAAAGATAAGAACGCGTTCAGGCAATAGAAAATAATGTTGTTGTCAGATTGAAAAGAAATTCTCAGATTTCAGCCGTACACACATGCGGACGTGCGTATGTGGTATCTACGCCCCTGAGCATCTCTGTTCTACACCGCATCTTCGCATCGTTGACAACGAAGTTGCAGCGTGTTACATCTCTACTAAATACTCTGTCTTTTTAATTCGGATAACTGGCGCTCCATTTTGGTGTGCAACCATCCTGCGGTGAACAGAAAATGCAACATTTGAAGTTTTGAGGAGGGGGCATAAGAGTTTGCGGTGATGCGATTTTTGCGGTATTTTGGATGCGGTTTTGCGAACATTTTCGTTTTATATTGCGGTTTTGTAGTTTTACAAGACTATGCGGTTTGCGGTTTCCGTGCATTCTGATAAAACTCGATGCGGTATTACTGTTTTAACGTATTTATGCGGGGACCCCCTTTATGACCCCCTCTTTGAGCGATGTTGCAAGGTATGTCCACCCCAGAATTGTTGCAGGAAACATTGCGCGCAACTTTTCCAAAGTAGAAAGATAGATGTAATAAATTGAAAAGAGATATTTTCCTGTTAAAGAACGCCGAATTTCAAAATTTTTGATTTCCCAACAATGTTTACACTTTTTCCCCGCGTCCAATTCCTACTGTTCTCCCTTCCCTTTCTAGCACCTGTCAGCAGGCGAAAATATAGTCTAAGCATCGAAATAATAGTCTTACACACCAAATAGCGCCAAATCACGACAAACATGATCATGCATAATTCAGAGATACTCTCGGACAATAGGACCAATAGCGTTGACAAGAAACCGTGCACAAAATTCTACATACCTTTAAGTTCTTCGATGCGTCTTTCCAAGGCAGCGATCGTTTCCTGATAATCCTCCTCCTTCTTCCTATTGACTTCTTCCGATCTTTTCAATTGCTTCATAGCAGCCTGCAGGTCATTCTTGGCTTCTTTGAATATCTTTTCCGGCACTGTTTTTTCTGGCCTCTTTTGTCCACTTTTATTGCTTGTCCCACACCTGTAAATGCAATAAGAAAGTACGAAAGTAAGAAATAAGGCCTATTCGTTAGGGAGTTAGTGGCTATCTATAATTTTGCTCCATTTATAGACTAGTTCGCCTGTTCATAATTCCACAAACTGATAAGGATAAATTTCGATTTTAAATCTTGCACGACGGCCATAGCTATCTATATTTTTCCTCCAATAATCCATATATTTTACTGCATATACTATTTGCAAACGAAATCTATAATTAGGGATAGTTTGCTTATAAGTCATCGGTACTTCCTTTACGTTTCTCACGGGCTGCTTGTGGCGGTGCTGGTGTTGATGTTGACGTTTCGGTCCTTATGCCCTCCTTTTCAGGGATCTCCAACGCCAAAACGCTGCTTACAATACTAGAATCATGGCACTCACAATTTTTCACCGATACGCCGCAAAACTCGCAGCGGTAAGGGCAGTCCATCAGAGTGTCATACATGTCTTTTGTCGTGCAGCCATAACGCTTTAATGTTCTCGAATACACCTAATGCAACTGCAACGAATCCTCTTCGCTGAGAGTTATATACATTTATCCCGTGTCGCTCTTGGGGTCGATATCATGGAGTGTGGGAAAGTGGCATGTCTCCAAGAAAATTTCTTCTGTCTGAAATTCTCACATTACAAAAGTGTAAAAGTTACATGGTTCAATTACTTGCGAACTCTTCAAAGGACTTATCTTCCGCGCTAATTACTTTTTTGCCGCAAACTTGGGTGTTGGATTTTGTGAACAAAGAACAGATGCAAAACTTATATCAATTTCAGTTTGCGTTTCCAGGCAATTTCAATTTTTCTTGTTAGTAGTTTTTCCTTTGGGCCTGCAATACTGGGCTTATTTCATTGTACCTGAATGATTATGAAAATACGTTCTGATCATTGGTCTCGGTCATGAAGTACAAGAGCAATGGGGGATTTTGCGACATGGTGCCTCTCGCTGTTCGTGGTTTATCAAAGTCCTGCACACGTACTTCAAGGGCTGTCATGCTGTTCCCGTCGGCCTCCAAGAGTGAGATGGGTACTGGGGTTGTTTGACACACAGTATGCTCCAGCCCGACCATACCTACAGCTCGTAAGGCGACGCAATGCGGCGACTCTTTGCGTATTATTCAACGGAAGGTTCAACCTGGCTCCAACCTTGGTAGCAAAACTACTATCAGAAATCAAACTCGCCAAAAAGGAGTTTCGTTGAAATTAAAAAAAGATGATTTATCTTTTGTAACACTACACCAGCAATCAGATCAGTATCAAACTTGAAAGAAGGTTTACACAGAAAATGGCATTTAATACAAAACTACCACTCATATCCTTTAAAAGAAGAAAATCCCTTAGACATGCTCGTGAGAGCAAAAGTCTGATTCAACAAAACTCTAAAAGGTTCTATACATGTTTTCACACAGGAAGAGAATCAGTGTGGCCTGTCAATCTTTGTCAATGAGGCGATAAAGGTGGGCGGCATTCAAAATACCCAAGTTCTCTGGCAGGCGGTATTTCTCGCGGCTTCGCCGCTCACTTCTGGGGGCTTCGCCGGCAAAACTTTATTTCGCGCGCGCTTACAATACCGCAAGCTACGCAGGCTAAAAGGGATTCGATTTACATTGTATATCAAAAGCCAAGCTTCCTAAAATGCCCCACTTTTTTCGAGAAGTTCTTTGTCGTAGTAGAGAAAAACTCCGCCTTCTAACTTGGTTGCAAAGGAACAGACTACTGAAAAGAAATGTCAACTGCGCGAATTGTAGGAATGCAATGCGTCTCATTCGCCATCTGCGCAATGGGGACGGATACATTTGGTAAGTAATTTCAATTCCAATTTTAATTAATCTAACTACAAATTTTCCCTGCCGACCTGAGCTAAAATTCGATAGCTTTCAACTATTTCAGACCAGTTGGGGTGGACCCGGGATTTGCGATAACAGTTTGTTAACGGTTTTCGTAAACTCTTGAGAAGGGCTTCAAATTAAAAAACAACACCCTATTTCAGACCGAGATGGTCAAAATCTATACTCTTGGAACGGGACGTACCTATATAGCTTAAACTTAACTTTTCAACCGGACATGTCACCGTTGTCGACGCTCTTCGTCAGTGAGAGTACATTCGTATTTCTCTGGAAGCAAAATTTCAATAGCACGGCAGTTGCAATTTCTCTGGAAATGGGCGCACAAGAGTTCGTTACGAATGATGGAAATTAAAGGAACGGCCTCATAGAAAGTTTTAGTCAAGTTCGCACGAAAGTGTCAGCAAGTTGCATGGGAAGCATTGTTGCGTCACCCGATCCCACAGTTAGGCGGACCAGGTGTGATTGTGCAGATCGACGAATCAAAGTTTAATCACAAGTCAAAGGTAAGAAAATAGGAAGTACAGACCTTCGAGTAGTCATGAGTTAGGTGGGTTCGGACCCAAGAGGGTGTCCTTCGGCGAAAAATGGTGTCTGTATTTTTAAAGTAAACTCCAACAAATTATGTTGACATCACTTGTCAGTGAAGGGTAGGAACTAAAAAACGTACAGTGGAATACCGAATTTCGAACCATAAACGGACATTGCAATTTGTTCGAAAAATGGGGAGCTTCGAGAAAGCGGGATTAAAATTACCGTGAAGTAAAGGCAAGGGAAACGAATTTTGGTTCCAAAAAAGGGGATNNTTTAACTAAAAAGCATGTTACTCGGCTAGAGTTTATTCCCGTGAAGTGACGCCCCTGCGATTCGCATTAGTCATTAGTTATTGTAAAGCTCCCGTTAGCCGAGTAGGAAAAAGCTAAAGTCTCAAAAATAAAGGGAAAATATTCGAGAGAAAAGTACAGATTGAAACCATAAAGAGATTAGGTCTTCGGAAAGTTTTCTCATAGGTGCTAACTTTTTCTTAAAGTGGTACGATGACGCAAGGATTTGCGTTTATGAGGATTTTCACTTTCCCGTTATTGTTACTTGCTTAACGGACTTCAATTCGTGAGTGGCTCATGCTGTAGTAAATAAGTCACTCCCAAATTTTTTAAATTCACCACGCCACTCATAAGTCGTTTCTTATCTTAATCATATACCTGAAAGTTTATGCCTTGAAATCAAATTTTTCAATACCGACCCTGCAACAATATACAATCACACGAGCGACTTTCAAACTATATTTACCGATAAAGTTCCAGACACTTGGCCGATAGACTACCGACACTCGGCGGATAGACCACTGACACTTGACCAATATTCCACCGACACTTGACCGATATTCCACCGAGACGCGACACTCCATCTGTCGGTCGACAGTCGGTCGACATATCGACCGATATGTCGACCGACCACCTTCCGACTATCTTCCGACTATCGAACGACAATCGACCGACTATCGACCAACTATCGACTGACCTATCGACCGACTATCGACCGACTGTCGACCGACATATCGACCGATATGTCGGACGCCATGTCAGTCGACATGTCGGCCGACACTACCTATAGTAAAATTGATCCAAAATGCGTCCTGGAGTGAGGAACAGGAAGTTCTAAAGATGAGGATTGATATCACTCAAAATGAGCGTAATTATCAGTTCTCAAGACAAGGAATATGCACTGACAGTGAGTGACAAATACTGCCTAAAACTGATAGCAGAGTCCTTACTTTAAGGTGACTGAAATTTCTCATAGTAAGACCTATTTTTTTTCAAGAGGAGTAAGTAAAGATCTCAAAAGAGAGCACTTACTCCTCAAAGATTGTTAAATAATACATCATCCCTATGTCCTTGAGACAAGGATCTTAACTCCTACCCTGCTGGCAGAGGCGTTTATTTGTTAACTTCCCCTACGGTCCACGTAAAAATAAAGTCATCTGCGCTCGGCCTGTTAAATGTTCTTCGAGCATGCGCGCCCTGTTGCTTTGAAACAAATTAGTTCCTGGTAGTACTCGGTCTTGCTATATAGCTAAATAGGATGCGTGCGCATAAAAACGTGTTTAAAACAGGTTCTGACCGTTTTTGCAAATCAGATTATCCACAAACTTGGATAATTCCCAGGTGCATGCTTGAAGAAGACTTAACAGGTCGAGCGCGGAGGACTTTATTTTTATGTGGACCGTAGGGGAAGTTAACAAATAATCGCCTCAGCCAGCACGGTACTTAACTCCAGGAAGTGGTTCTTTCTATCAATATTTTGTGCATGTAACACAGGTTAGCCAGCCCATACTACAAACTCAACAACCACTTTTAATCTGACATAATCACCCCAAATTGTGCTTTCTTTAAAATGTTTTACATTATTTTGAACTTAAGATACCTGCACAGCAGCAAGTTTTATTTTGAAGCAAGACTGAAGTTACACCTCACTTCATTTGATGTAGATCAAATGTACAGCAAAGTGACATGGCTTTATACCTAACACCAATTCTTCAAGAAATGGCACAGCTACATGTTAACTTAATATGCTGAGATTTTAACTATTTAATAAAACTCTTCGTGCAGATTTACCAATATTAAAATAAACAGTATAGGGCCTTCATGACAAACACAAATTCCTCAAGGAATACGTATAGTAGCCTTTCCTTTGAATCGTACTGAAGATTACTCTTTCTCTTTGTGAAAAATCTTGTTACAGATTTGCCTGTGCCTAAATGTTCGTCATAGAGGCTTTACACCTAGGACATGTTCTTCAAGAAATTGATACAGCAACTTTTCTTTTGAATCATATTGAAGATTAAAGCAATAATAAGTTGACAATGACAACAACAAGCCCTTTAATAGGATGAATATCCTTGCTGGTGTAGGACTATAATTCTGTCAACTAGTGGTTTATATTTAAATTGAGATTCTTTACTCTGGTTCAGTAATTTTTTGTATAATAATCACATGATTGTAAGTAAAAATTACAAATGGTAGCAGTTTACATTCCATGCTTATTCTTCTGGAAGTTATAAATTTATGATTTATTTTGAAAACCACTTTGATTGTCATTTGAAATTAAAAATTTCTGTGAATTACATGCAACTAGGATATTCCTAATGCTTTATATTTATGGTAAACTAGGAACAATCAAAACTGTGGTCTTGTTTCATGAATCACAGATTCAAATTATATTTATAGTTATATTTCCTTGGGAACTTGACAAGCATAATTCCACAGATATTTCTGATATTTTGGCAAGCATTTATCATAAATCTAGTTAGAAGAAGAGCCTTTCTACATAGAATGAATACTTGCTAAAAGCAAGGATTTGAGATATTTATTCAAGAGTGGAAATACTCTTAAAATGAGAATTTAAAGTCATAATTCTTAAAACAAGGAATGTAAATACTATTTTAATGGTGGTATTCTTAAACTGAGGAACTTTCATTGGAGAGTATTAATTCTTAAAAGCAGAAATCTTGATCCTTACATTTCAAGGAATTGACTCTCAAAATAAGGAAGATATCCTTGTTTTGAGTATCCACTGACTTACAATAAGAGTTCCGAAAAAGATAAACTTTAGAGTGGTGTGAACATCCTTGTACTTGTTTTCATCCTCGTGCCAATAATTATCTCAGAAGTGCGAGACAGGCTTCAAGCGCGGCACTTAGTTGCAACACAAGCATAGGCATAAACATTACAAGCTAATGCGCAGGTGCATGGGCACAGCTGCAACATAAACATGAGCACAGGTGCTCAGTCGATGTTATGTTAAATAGGGACATGGTTGGTATAAGCAGTATAGTGCTTGCTGATTGCCTGAAAGTCTCTCGCTTATGTTGATCGTTATGCTTATGCGAACCAAGTCTTAACTAGACAGTATAAGCATAAAAAAGGCAACGTTTAGATAATCATATGCATATATGCTTATCCTTATGTCCGTGCGTTCCATCCAGCGCATAAGCTTTTACAGGACTATCCCTATGCTGCATCGCAAGTAAATACTGAGCTCAATATTGGAAGAATTGTTTTATGATAAACAAAACAGCACCCTTTTGAACTTTCATTCCACAAACCTTTACAGTAAAATCTAGAACAGTGATTGTCTTGCACTAAATCCTAATCAGGCCATATTTTCTGTCTTTGAGGCCTAATCTAGTTTCACATCATATTCCTCATAATGCTCATCTACCAGTCTAACGATTCATACTCCAATAGGAAAATTAAACCCCCATTTCTATTGACTACACAAATTAGATTGGCTTATCCAATTCACGAGTTAGCTCACAGAGCTAATTCGTGAGTTAGTGCTGTTGCGAAGAGCCCAGAGGAGCTAGTGTTGTTACTGGAATCGTCAGCCGTATGGAAGGCTACGTTGAAGAAGGTTTAAGTGGACATCGATACATTACGAGGATCTCTGAAGAGAACTGTGAGTTGTGCAGTAGTGTATTGAGGTTATAGTTTTATAGAGGGCTCTAGGATAAGACGTTAGTAAGATTATTACGTCAGTTGATAAAGTAGTTGAGTTAGTACGAGTTGTATCTTTCTGTGGGTTGGGAAAATACCGTAACGCAAGAAAAGAAAATGTCTGAATCCGATAAACACAATATACAAAGATTTACCAAGCCAGGAATCCGATGGTGTAGGGCGGTGTTAACTGCATGCTGGGCATTTTTGCCAAAAAGATATGTGTGATGGGAAAAGGAGGCACCGAGCCTCATCAAAACACTCTAGGACACAATATACAGAGAATCACCAGGCCAGGAATCCGATAAGGCAGGGCGGTGTTAACTGCATATCTGGGCATTTTTGCGAAAAAGATATGTATGATGGTGTGGCCTACGCCCATCATACCATACGAAAGACCGCTACCCCAATAGAGGTGCTCTACGCCTCGAAACGCCAAAGCTGTACCCTTTATGGCTCTGGGGACTACAGAGTCATAGAAACCTTAAAGAATTGTTTATCGGCTCCCCTAGAAGCCACGTTGTAAGAAGCAACGCCGTAATAAGCAACAATCATAGTGAAACCTTCGATTCTAATGTTGTTTATACTTAGAAGAAAAGTCAAGCAGATATTTCATTTTGTCTTGAATTGACACGCATTTATAAAGTTTTAAACCTAGTCCCAATCTTTATGTTAGCCGTAACGCAACATGTTTTGAGTCGCCTGTCTCAAAATGAACTCTATCTCGAAACCAAACTAGTTTGGCGCTCCAAGGAACAAGGATGGCAAGGAATAGTGCAGATTGGAGCAGATTTTAAGTGCTCTTTCCAGCGAAATTGCTATTCAAATTTAAATGCTTCTTGTTACGTAAGAGTGAAATATATGCAATTGGCAATTTTCGCACTTAAAAAATGTGACAGCGAAACAATAAAAGTCTGCAAATGTGTCGGGTGCTTTTGTTTGTTAGAGACCTTTGCAATCTCACAATTTCCACCGTCAAACAAAGGAGAGGGAAATAAATTTCATGGCGATATTTCTGATATCCGCGTAGTTTTAATAAAATGGCCAGGAAACCAAGCCGATCCCAGCTATATTTATTTTATTTGTTTGAATGGAATTGCTTTTAAATTGTTTAATTGCTCGGGAGCCTAAATGCAGGATGTAATCTTCCGTCATGGAAACATTCTACGCGACAACATCTAGGGAATCACCGAGCCAGCAATCCAACGGAGCGGTGTTAATCGTATTTCTGACCCTTTTACGAAACGATCCGAAGAGTCCTTGAAGTTTTCTTGAAAAATGATATTTGTGATTCTGCGACCTAAGCCCACTGTGCTAAACGAAAGACCGCTACCGGACTGGATGTGCTGGCCTTGAAACACCAAGGCAGTACGTGTTCCAGCTTTGGCGGATACATGGATACAGTATGACAGGAACCTCAAAGAACTGATTTACGGCTCTTGTAGGGACCCTCGCATTTGGAAAGAGTCGTGATAAGCAGCAATGATAATGAAACCCACAGGTCTACTAATGTTGAAGCGTGTAAAAGAACTCAAAAAGAAACTTTATTTTGTTTGAGACAACACGCATTTACACTGTTTTTAAGCTTAGTCCTAATCTTTGTGTCAGCACTAACAAAAAATGTTTTGAGCCGCCTGTGTTAAAGGAAACTCTATCTGGAACCTAACTAGTTTTTCGCCCTAGGGAAGAAGGATAGCTAAGAAAAGTAAAAGATTAGAGCGGATTTAAGAAAGGTTCTTATCAGCAAACATACTATTCAGACTATTCAAAGTCAAATGCGTCTTGCTACGTAGGAGTGAAATATATGCAATTTGCCATTTTCACGCCAAAAAATATGACAGCGAAACAATACACGGCTGCAAATGTGTCGGGATGCTTTTGTTTGTTTGAGACAGGCAATCTCACAATATCCACCGTGGAACAAAAAGAGGCAAATAGAATTAACGGCAATGTTTTGATATTATTGAAATAATTATTACCAATGTTTTTTTATATCCTTGAAGTTTCGATGAATTGCCCAGGAAAACAAGCAGATTCAAACTATATTTATTTCATTTGTTTCAATGGACTTGCTTGAAATTTGTTTAATTAGTCAGGAGCGTAAATGTGCGATGTAGTTTTGCGTCAGAGAAACTTTCTACGAGACAAAATCCAGGGAATTATCAAGCCTGGACTCCGACTGGACAGGGCGGCGTTAATTGCATTTCAGGCCATTTTTAGGACAACATCTGAGGAGTCTTTCTCTACGGCTCTACGCCTTCAAACGTTAACGCTTTTAACGTTTATTCGTTTGAATGGACTTGCTTTAAGTTTGATTAATTAGTTAAGGGCCTAAAGCATAGTCATCTCGAATGATTGATTAAAGATGGGTGATTTTTTACAAAACTACAGTAGTCTTAAATGCTTTCTTCTTTTTGTAAGCTGGACAACGAGAAGGAGTGAATGTTCAGGCTGTAAACTGTAATGTGAGGAAATACTTTATCCAATGTTATGCTTCCCGAGAGAGCTTTAGCACACATGACAGGATTTATGCAGTGCCGACAAGTCCTCTGTATCTGCTACATTATCCACATTTTCCATTCGCTCAGACGAAGGGCTAACGCTCGAAACGTCAGCTTTTGTAATCGTTACGGTGGCCAATTTACCATTTCAACTTTGTTGATATATCCAAATTATTTCGTTACTCCCACCGACGCAGCCCCAAACAGTTTCTTTCGAAACTATCAGCCTTTACACACTTTACAAAGCTCGATTGCAAAGTAAAAACCAATAAAACCAACAATAATAAGAAAATAAAATTATGTCTGGATGCGATAAATGAGATGAAAGTTGGGAAAAAGAGGCACCGAGCGTCATAAAAACATTCTACGAAACAACATACAGGGAATCACCAAGCCAGTAATCCAACGGATCAGGGCAACGTTAACTGCGTTTCTGGGTATTTCTACGAAAAGATCAGAGAACACCTTAAATTCTCTTGGAAATAAATATCCGTGATGGTGTTGCCTACATCCATCATGCCATACGAAAGACCACGACCCCAATAGCTGTGCTCAAGTAGTATAGAGAGTCTGTATTGAAGCAACCGAGAAGTCTGGGTCCGAGTGAAATGTGCTGAGTTAATTATTTATACCGTGTAGGTTCACGAGGGGTTTTCTAGGGTTTAGGGTGATGATGAATGATTCATATGGTGTAGGTACAGGAGGATAGGGTTTAGGGTTAAATAAATATTCATACGGTGTAGGTTTTCGAGAGTATTTTTTGTATAAATTTTAAAATAATGACCATCCAAGATGGCTCCTAATCCTCCCAGAGGGAGTACCCAAGATCGCGACTAATCCTCCCTTTGGTAGAGGGATTTCAAGATAAACGAACATTTTCGAATAAAAGGAAAATGGTGTGGGAGTGCCGTTACCAGGATTCGAACCTGGATTATTGCGGCCACAACGCAATGTACTAACCATTATGATTATATGATCACAGCCTCTGTAATCTTTATTAGAAAATTAAATCCACGATCCCTAATGCAATATACTTTTTCATAAAACAACAATAACAACAACAAAAATAGAATGTCATTAAAAGCATTTATTAAAAGATACATGCACGGAGTGGTGAATTTTGACAGGAGACCAAATTGACCTCAAAGGATTCCCGCACAGTCTGGGTCCGAGCAAGAAAAACCATTAACATCCCTTGGGTTAGCGTTAGGGGAGTAAAAAATTAGTATTCACATTTTCACTGTTTTCTGTACTTGCGTACTGAGTTGTGTGTATTTCTTCTGTAATTCTTCTAATACGGATTTTAATTGTGATAGTTGTGATGATTTTTTCTGTAGTGGTAATGTACGCTTAATATGCTTTCTCTCGTCTTTCACGGACTGATATTGCTTCAGATCTTCAGCAAGTTGAGTCTCGATCTCTTGTATCGCTGGACATAACACCACGTTTCCCAACCCACAATCTCTTTTAGTCTCTTATATTTACTGGAGGGGGAAACTGTCTTCGCAGGTGTCGATTTCTGCAATTTTACTATAATTTACTTGAAATGATTGTTTATTTTCTAGGAATTATGAATTCAAATTAGAAATATAACTCCCACAAGATGTAACTACATAAGTTGTACATAGGTTTAGTCACACATGAACCTGAAAAAACTTGAAGTGATATCCCATATTTGTCTCTTCTCCTCCTCCTCCTCTCCCCTCCTCTCTCCTTTTCCCTCCTCCTTTTCCCTCCTTTCCTCTTCACTCCTCCTTTTCCCTCCTCTCTTCTCTCAAAGGCGGATCAGGAAACGCAGCTCCGGCTGCGTCCATTTTTATTTCACCCTTCTAAAATGCAGTATGACGATTTATCTCACATTTTTTCTTCTAAATTGTGGATCCAATTCCATTAGAATTTGTGGATTATCTCCCGTTTTCTGTGGATTCAAACCCATTATAATTTGTGGATTCGATCCACATCATCTAACCCTAACCCTAACCCTAGCTCTAATTTTAACCCTCGTACTCCTACGTGAATTAGGGTTTATTCAACGCTTTTATTTTGTGTATCCTTCATACATTTCCTTA